AGCTGTCCAGGAGGGAGAGAAGTAGTAAATGAGGTCATTGTGGAGCAACATCATTTTTTACTCTATTAATACTACTAGTTTTCTGATATTCTTTCAAAAAGCGTCGCTTACCTAAACACACTTCGCTTCGCCGGAGGTGTTGATTGTGGAACTGTAGGTGTCTTCAATTTTCCTACAACAGCATCTAAGCTTGTCTTTCGAGGTTGAATAGCACGAGGTGAGGGAAGTGGAGCCGGCTGACTGACTGACGGCGATGCAACGGCTAGAGGTGAAGGAGGAGGATGTCCAGGAATGGCCGATGGCGTGCTAGCGGCAGTATAGAGAGGGCTCATCGACTAAAATATTTTTTCCACTGTTTCCACGAACTTACTGTAATTCCGTAAAATTAAGCTACTTTCAAAATTCTTTCTGATGTCATTTGAGCAAGTATTTACAATCGCGTAACAAGAGCGGAAACTGGGAAGTCCACCTGCACATATCTTACCCACAACCAATTTTCAAGATATTCGTATTAGAGGGTAGCACTTAATGTTTTAGATTACACAAAGAAACTTCTTTGTATGCTAGTTCACAGAAAAGGCGTTCAAACTCTAAGGTGAGCGATTACTCTTGCTGGGCGAAGTATATTCAACCCTGCTTAGGAAGTTACGGAAGATTTTAAAATCAAAAATCACTTAACCAGCAAACAACACTCACTTTAAATTAAACCTGAAATAAAGTTTGTTTTTGAAAAAAATCAGTGAACCATCAAAACGCGGCTCTTGCGTTTTTTGAAAGAGAAATGGTAGACAAAGAAAACGTTTTGAAAACAGCGCCTTGCGCTGCATATAGCGATAAGCGACAAAAAAGGAGTTATTCTTAGCACAATTGTCTAAAGGACTTTTCGCAAGTAGAGCTCAAATCAGGCATGTGTGATATTTCTGGTATAGCCAGGTATGTCTCCAACCAGCTTAGCAATGGGAAATAGGCAATCAAATTGAAAGACAGTAACTCACCTGTGAAGGACTATTTACGCCAGAAGACGCTGTTGCTATTTGACTTGCAGCTGGTGATGG